GTGCAAACCAGATTATTCATATTCCAGTATCAATATTATATCTTCAAAAAAACAGGCTCACTTATAAGCGCAAACACAGGCTCCCTTCCACTTGTAAATACTTCAGGTTATAAGAGTACAACTGGATTTTTCCACATCAATGGGGAAAATGAACAGTTTTTTCAGGAATATTGCAAAAAAACTACAGCAGCCTCCACTGACTGATTTAAATGCTGATCTCTGAAAACTCCCTCACAGACACACCTAAAAATAATGTTTTACCAGCTACCTGGACATCCCTTAGTCCAGTCAAGATGACATAAAATTAACCATCATACATTATCATAAACACACTTGGGTTTGAAGTTTTAATCTGCCGTCTGTTAGTTACATAACCTGGGATGTTATATTTATATTGGTATGTCCTGCTTTGTCATCTCAAACAATAACATCAATTTTAATATGAGCTTCTGTCTTTCCAATCTCAAAAAGATTTTCTAACTATTCTAATAAATCTAAGAATTTTAGGGGCCTATTAGCCCAAGGAGTTGTTCTTGGTTACAGAGAGAAAACTGAAAAAATTAATATGTGCATTAAAAGACTCCATACTCTACCACCATTACCCTCATACACACACACACACACACACACACACACACACACCTCTTAAGTTTTCTTTTGCTTTCCCCTATTTATTTTCCTCCTACTTATTTTTATCCTTCTCTTCATTCTCCCAATCCCAAAAATTCATGTACATGCACATACATGTGCACCCACACACACAGAACTACATAAAAAAACTGGTCTGCAGACCTAGGTGTTAAAGCCTGAGTCACCACCCCAGACTCTGTTTTCCCAAATAGTCTCCACTCAAAGGCAACTGGTCCCCTCTCTGACACCCAGCCTCAATCAGGGTCTCTTTAGTCCGTTAGAGATGTTCTAATAACGTTGAATCTCAAAAAAAGAAGGGGGTCTATGAATCGAATCACAAGAAGGTAATAAGATAAATCTACATTATGAGATATTCTATAAGACAAGGCTGGGTGCAGTGGCTCATGCCTGTAATCTCAGCACATTGGGAGGCTGAGGCAGGCAGACCACTTGAGTCCAGGAGTTCAAGACCAGCCTGGGCAACATGCTGTTTTAAAGTAAGTTGCAGCCATTGTAACAATTCACCCCTCCATCTTCTGTGATTTGTCTCACTTAATTCAGGCTGCTGTAACAAAATATTATATACTAGGGGGCTTATAAAGAAAAGAAACTTATTTTCTACAGTTCTAGGGGCTGGGAAGTCCAAAATCAAGGTGCCAGCTGATTTGGTGTCTGGTGCAGGACTGTTTCCTGATTCATAAACAACCACCTATAACCTCACATTGCAAAACAAGTGAGAGTTTCTCTGGGCTTTCCCTCTCTTTTTTAAATAGATGGGGTCTTGCCATGTTGCTCAGGCTAGTTTCGAACTCCTGAGCTCATGCAATCTTCCTGCTTTAGCCTTCCAAAGTGCTGGAATTACAGACTGAGCCCAGCACTCTGGGTCTCTTTTATAAGGACAGTAATCCCATTCATGAGAGCTCCAACATCATGACCTAGTCACCTCCTAGAGACCACACCTCCTAATACCATCATCTTGCAGGTTAGGATTTCAACATGAATTTTGGAGGGGAGCAAACATTCTGACCATAGTAACATTCTTCTGAGTAATCACAATACCATTATTATACCGAATAAATTTAACACTAATATAATAATATTATTTAATACACAGTCCATATTTATAGTTTTCTAATTGCCTCAGTGATGATTTATTATATTTCTTTCCAATTCAAGATCCAATTGATAGTTGCATATATTTTTACACATCCCTCTGTTAATCTAGACCAGTTCTCCTGTTTTACTTAGTTTGACACTGGTTTTGGTCTCTTATGACACTGACATTTCCGAAGAGTCAAAAGCATTTGCCTTACAGAATATCCCTTTTTAAAGTTTATTTATTATTTATTTTTCAGTCAGGGTTTTGCTTGTTTGCCCAGGCTGGAGTACAGTGGCACCATCCTGGCTCACTGCAGCCTAGACTTCCTGGGCTCAGGTGATTCTCTCACCTCAGCCTCCCAGGTAGCTGGGACTACAGACAAATACCACAACATCTGGCTATTTTTATTATTTTTTTTTTAGAGGGAGAGATGAGGTTTTGCCATGTTGCCCAGGCTGGTCTTGAACTCCTGGATGTGCCAACTTGTTCTAAGAGGAAGTAATGTGGCAAGATATTATCAACTGGTGACTCTAACTGAAGAACATTCGAGTGTTACTTATAGTATTCTTAAATCATTTTTGTAGCTCTAAAACGTCTTCAAAATGAGATGCTGTGGGAAAATGGGTTTTGTAAGTTGAGGAAGAGGGATCTCTAAGTCTTGATAATTTGCTTTCCAAGAGTTTATGGCACCTACTCTCAAATTGCCACTTCTTCCAATAATTGACTTTTGAATTTTTCATAACTAAGGTGTTTGGTGAAGGCACTATCCTTTCTAAACACAGAAAATTACCCCCACACTAGAGAACAAAGGGAGGCTACGTGCCTTACATCACCATATGTAAAGGGCTTGCACACGAGGTTCTAGATCATCTCCACCAGGAGGCTTTGGATCTGCTCTGCCACCACAAAAAGAAACTATCAGCAAATCTTAACTACTGACTTCTCATAATGAAAAGAAGTTTAAAATTTCACCCCACCATAACTAGATTATTTCCGTTTCATTTTGTTTAGTATTAGAAAAGCAATAAAATAAAAAACTACCTACTTCAGTCAGGCACACTGGCTCATCCTGTAATCCCAGCACTTCGGGAGGCTCAGGGGGGTAGATCACTTGAGGTCATGAGTTCAACACTAGTCTGGCCAACATGGTGAAACCCCATCTCTACTAAAAATACAAAAATTGGCCAGGCATGGTGGCACATACCTGTAAACCCAGATACTCAGGAGGCTGAGACAGGAGAATCACTTGAATCCGGGAGGCGGAGGTTGCAGTGAGCTGAGATTGTGCCACTGCACTCCAGCGTGGGCAATGGAGCAAGATTCCATCTCAATAAATAAATAAACAAACAAACAAACAAACAATAACAAAAACAAAACAAACTATCTGCCTCAAATGGTTATTGAGGTACCATTATACCGGACAGAATCCAGCAAAGTGTCCAGCATACACGGGCCCCTTGATAAATACCAGTAACCTTTTTACTTATCCAAGCATCCCATCACCAGACTGTTTCTATACACAGCGGTACTGAAACACCTTTTTCTCCCCTACACCCCGTAGAGCTCAGGTGGCCACACATCCCAGTTTATGCCTATTGTCCTGGCTTCATCGATAGTGCCTCTTTCAATCTCAGAGTGCCCCAATTTGGATGATAAATTATAAGGTCACTCTACCTATTGTCACATTCTTTCTAGAAAACGTACCCTGCTGAAAGACACAGAGACCAGCTCATAAGATAAAATTCTTCACCTTTTCTGAGGCACTAAGGCTGTGTAAATATTGACTCACCCCAGCCTCAACCTAAGGTGAACAGAACCTAAGGTCCGCTGGAGCAGAACCGCTTGCCCCTGAGGGCTCACCATAGTTATTTTCATCCCCCAAGTCCGTTCTTATTCTTGTGCAAATTGCCCAGTGTTGACAGAAAGAAAAAGGCCTCCTCCCCTGTGGAAGAAGAATAAACACTGGAATAAAAAATGAAAAGGATTTACTTCTGGACTTGGCAGCTCACTTCAAATTTGAAGTTTTAGTACTTTTAACACATCTCATTAATAATATAGCCCATTTAATATACTCTATAAATAGAATCCATTTGTATCACATTTCATGTTTCAAATAGAGTGACAGAGATTCAGGAGGTAAATTCTATCTTGCGAGGCATCCACAAAGCAAAGACATAAAAGCTTCCTAGAAGTGGTTTTCATTTTGCTAAAGCATTTCCATTCTAATTCCCTGCAGAATTAGAATGTAAGCTCCGTGGTGGCAGGCGGTTTGTGAGTTCCATTCACTACTGTATCCACTTTGCCCAAAATAATTCCTGGCACATAGTAAATGCTCGATAAAAATATATAGACTTTGTTAATAAACTGCAGGCAGTTTAATATCTGAGTGATGCAAAATAATCATAATTTCCTTCATACGTTTTTTAAGGCATTTTCTTCATGTTCCTTAATATATTTTTTTCCTTGTTTCACAATTGAAAAACCAAGGCTTCTTTCCATTCATTGATTGATAGCTCTGGTTCTCTTTTAACTTACTCCAATTTTCAAATTAAAAAAAAAAAAAGATTTTTAAAATCTTCACTTATAGAACTTCTCAACTAAAAACAAAAGTATTCAACTTGTAAAAATGGCTCTCTCCAGTACTTAACACTTCCTTCCTTAGAATTATAAAAACAAATGATAAACAAACTAAAAACATTCTTTCACATCATCATTTCCGCATTTATTCAGTGTCAAAAGTAACGTTTGCTAATATTACCACCAATCTCATCAGAAAAGTCTTTTAAGTATTGCGAAGTTGTGTGGATATTCATTTTCCAAAATTTAACTTTTCACTTGAAAGCTGAAATTTTTAACACTGGCAACAAATTCTCTTAAAGTGACAGACTCACTTTGTTTTCACAAAAATTACTGACAAAAACACATGACTGAGTAAGCAGTTTGCCGGATTTTTTTAAGTAAAAATGGAAAACGCAGCGAGTTCAGCTCACAACTCAATCACACAAGCACTTGACCTTGAGACTCCTGTTAAAATGATGTGTAGCACAAGGTTTTCCTCTTACTTTTGTCACACAGAATATTAAAAAGACATGTACTGGCTGGGTGCAGTGGCTCACACCTGTAATCCTGCACTTTGGGAGGCCAAGGTGGGTGGAACACCTGAGGTCAAGAGGTCAAGACCAGCATGGCCAACATGAAGAAACCCTGTCTCTACTGAAAATACAAAAAAAACCCACAAAAAAACAAAAAAAAACAAAAAAAACGCATGTACTTAAAGGTCAAGATTTAATAAAATTCATCATTTTTATTGCTTCACTGAGGACATTTTGATGTAAAACTGGCTTTTTTCCCCATGAGTGGACTCATCAGATGAATTTATTCCGTTTACATAAGAAGCAACTTACGTTACATTCATTCCAAAAGCTCTTGGTATAATATCCTGACCCAAAACCATTAATATTACCCCCTACCCACAGTAATGGTCTTCAAATGCAATTATCTTCAAAATCAGTTTTGTTTTGTTTTTTTAATGCAGGAGTTTAAAATTTCAAACATTCATAAAGGCCTATTTGAGCTAACTGAATCATCTTTTCTGGTGAGCTGGGTTGGATGATGTGGTTATGGTTTGCGGGGGAAATAAAATGAGGAATGAATTTTTGGCCTAATGCTCAAAATGCCATTGGAGGCATTAATCAATGTCCACTTTTGACTCATTTCAGAGGCTCAGAGACAATAATTTAACCACTCATGTCACTGGAGGATACAAAGTGGCAAGGGTATATAGCAGGGAAGAAGCCTCAGGAAGATAAAAGAAGGTCTCTGCTGGTCACATCCTCGTTGGGACACAGCTACACGTCTGACTGTCCAGAGGCTTGCCTGATAAGCCCAATGAGTTGAGAGGACAATAATCCTAAAGAGTTGCTTCTTGTCCGACGCCTCTGCCCCTTGCTGTTCTCCTTAATTGGACCTACTACCAGCAGCAATGGGGTGGTTAATTCAATGGGTTGAATCCCAGCATATTGACGGAACCACATTTTACTAGTGAGAAAGGTTAATATGACTTTAAAGTAAGCTCCCATGCACTGTCCTCCATATTCCTGCATCCATATCATATGGAGAGCAAGAGAGGGCTTGTCTCCTAGCAGAAAGTCTGATCAGGCTCCTTTTCTCCTTCTTCAGTATAAGCAAGCAGGGTCAAGACCTATAGATCTAGTCATTTTTCTCTCCTCTTTCTTATCGTAAGCACATTGAATATACTAGTCCCAAGATTCAGAATTAGGAATAGAAAGGCAGTAAAAGACCCTCTCCTTGTTAGACTTCAATTCTAAATAATATGCTCACATCCAGCTTTTATAAGAAATCAGTGTACTCCATTTATGAGGTTTGCAAAGCTACCATAAAGAGGCCATTTGAGTCTCATTATCCTATTGAGAGCTTTATGCAGAACGCCACCAGAAATCCCAGGGAGGGCAGGAAGAGTCAGAGAATAACTTAAGCATTCCTCAGTCCTTGCTTTTAACACCATCATAGTATCGAACAGCCCTACCCAGAAGCCTTCACACCTCTCTCTCCTATGTCTTCCTCCTATCAGCAATGGTGCCTAGTACAATGCCTATTTTGTAACACAGTAAATGTGTACCACCCCTGCCACTATCATCAATGATTTCCTGTTTTCCAGACAAGTCTCCATCAAGCTCTTCAAAAACAAAAGGGTAATGACTACAGATAACTGTAACCACCACAGCCAGCATCTATTGAGCTAAGTGAACACTAGCTTAATCATCACAAAGCCTCACAAGGAGGCTGGATATTATGACATCCACTTTACAGATGAGCAAATTGAGTATCAGAAAGGCCAAATAACTCGACCAAGATAAAGACAGTATGTTGCAGAGTGGCAACTAAAACTAGATATTTCTTACAGTCATAATTCTATATCCTGAGTTTTTCAAGCATTTTTATGTCTGTAATCAGAAGACAAGATATATATTGAGATTAGAATTATACAGTAAAGACATGACCACTAACAGTAAAAATTAAAAGAAATTTCCTAAAGAAAATTATTTGCAAAATAGTCAGGATTGCAAAGTTACTTGAAACAAACTAACCACCACTATTCTTGGTCTATTAATTTCTAAGTAGTGTACTTCGAAGACTCCAAGGAAGACATATGTCACTTATGCAAGATGTACTCATCTTGCTTTCGGGGTAATCAACACAGTTCACTGAAAATTAACTCTATACTGATGCTATAGACTGAATTCTGTGTTTCCCAGTATTCAGATTAAAATTCTAACTCCCAATGTGATGGCATTAGGAGGAGGAGACTTGGGAGAGTGAGATCATGAGGGTGGTGACTTCTGAGAGCTCTGTCGCCCCTTCTGCCATGTAAGGACACAGCAAGAAGATAACCACCTATGAACCAGGAAATGGACTCTCCCAGACACCAAATCTGCTGGCACCCTGATCTTGTACTTCCCAGCCTCTAGAACTGTGACCAATCAACTTCTCTTGCTTATAAGCCACCCAGTCTATCATATTCTGTTTATAGCAGCCTGAACAGACTAAGACAACTGAATTCTCCTAACGAATTGTCAACTTTAGCAGGAATTATATCCTGTTAATGACTTTTTAAAATGCACATTTTACTGGGCATTCCAAGCTCAGGTCAGCACTGTGCTTGGATTCACACAGTCTTTGTTAGATATGGAGCAGGTTCTTCTATTTGTAATATACAATGTGTGGTCGAAGGAATGATGCTCATTTTCACTTCTTTTATTTCTGAGTAATGCATAGAACACTATGTATTTCCGATCTGTTACTAATAATGATAATGACCCCAACTGATATTCTAGTTACTAGACTCTAGTCCTTAACAGCAACAAAGAAGCCAGTCAGCATTCAGGCTCCAAAATATATTTGCTGCATAATTGAGGATCAAAGTTGCATCCATTTTTAGGTGAAGACTATCAACTAGCATTAGTGATCATTTTCTCCAACATTTCTGAAAAGGCTTCTGACCACTCTGTCACACTGCTTTAAAAAATTAGTCCTTGAATGGCCAGGCACAGCGGCTCATGCCTGTAATCCCAGCACTTTGGAAGGCTGAGGTGGGTGGATCACTTATGGACAGGAGTTCAAGACCAGCCTGGCCAAATGCTGAAACCCCATCTCTACTAAAAAAAAATACAAGAAGTTGGCCGGGCATGGTGGTGGGCACCTGTAATCCCAGCTACTCAGGAGGCTGAGGCAGAAGAATCGCTTGAACCTGGGAGGCGGAGGTTGCAATAAGCTAAGATCATGCCACTGCAATCCAGCCTAGGTGACAGAGCAAGACTCTGTCTCAAAAAAAAAAAAAAAACACCTCTTTGAAAACAATCCAAATACTCCTTGAAAGCAATCCAAGTAAAATATACTAAAGCACTAAGCAAAATGTTGCATTATACAAACTCCTTCGCAGACATGAGGCATTCCTCACAACAGCCCTGTGAGGCAGGTTGCTTTCTTAAAATATTTCACAAACAGAGACAGTGAGGTAAAGTGAAAGATATATGGCAAATGGGATCAACACAGATTAATGATTTTATTTCACTAAATTTGTTCAGGGATACATATTTCAGAAACGCTTAGAGAAGATTTCATCTATGGACTTGATGAAGAACTAAGATGGAATGAGATTGCATGAAAAGTTGAGGTTTAAGACATATGATAGCACACAACCACTGGGTATCTGCCGAAGGCATTTATGGAGGAGAGCTGAAATTAATCATGAAAATATCTTACCAGAGGTATAAGTCACCTCTCAGGCTTTCTATTGCGGGTTTAAAAAAAAAAAAACCCACTTCATTTTACACGCCATTTAAAATCTGACCTTTAACAAGCAATCCCCGTTTCCAGTCTTTATTTCTTTAATATTATCAAATAAAATCACAGAGAGAAATTCCCTTTCATCCTCAATACTACCCATTAAGTATGCTCCTTCCTCCAAAGATGGTGCTTCCCCTGAATAATACACAGCAGTTCCAAATAGTTTGTTACTGTCTTTAGTAAAAACATCTACAAAATTAAATTTCTTAAATGTTGATGAACAATTAAAAATGTTATATAGGGAAAAAAAAAAAGAAAAAACCTTCCAAGACCAGCCCAATCACTTCTTTTTAGATACAAAAACTAAGGCCTATGGAGATTCAGAGATCTGTCCAAGATCATACTTAGTTAATGGCAGAGCTGGGATTGGGAAGAACCCAGTTACAGACACCTTCTCCCACCCAATGTGACCCTTCTGGCTTCTATAAGGAGGTACTGGTTTTGGCTCTCCTTTCTCACATACTGGCTGACAAAACCCAGCCAGAGCTACCTAATGAAGACAATGGTCACTGCCAAGCACCCCAGCGGCCTTCAATAAAATAAGGGGCTGATGCTAAGGAAGAACCCGTCAATTCCCCCGTATGCCATGACACAGACATGAGCACCACAGACTCTTCCCGTCCTCTGGCTACCTTCTGTGGCTTGTGGCTTTCCATGACGAAGAATGGAAACCATGACACAACAGTGGCAAGAGGCTTTTGGTATCATCTATAAGCCTCCCCTCCCTCACATTGGAAAGAAAACGCAAGCCAGTGTTTTCCTCCTTGTCTTCTGAGGTGCTCCAGTAGATGTCCCAGACAGGACAGCTGAACTTTCTCTGTGACAGGATCAGAAATGACAGGAAGTGCTCACACACTAAATGCTTGTGGCTGCCACCACGACAGGCTACATCATCCTACAAAAAGACAAACAGCTTCAGCACAACTGGAGCTCCTGTGGGGATTCACTTCTACTTTCATGCTGCTCAAAATGACCAGGCTGTACAGACTGAATCAGAATCATAGCCATTCTTGATACTATTCTGCCCAGCAGTAGAAGAAATAAGTGGTAACATCTCACTAATCAAAACACACCGGGGTTACTGTGTCTTTACAAGACATTCTACTTGGAAGGGGAAATGAGAGACGAGAGGACAAGGTGTAACTAAAGGTTAGAGAGGTGGCTGGGTATGGAGAGGAGAGAGACGCACATACGTTCTTTTCACTTGAAGAGTGGACAGCGGATAAACCTGAAACAGCTTTTATTACTCACTTACATCCCTGGAAACCAACAGATGGGATCTCTCATTGCCAAGTTCTAATGTATTTCACATTCATGCTCGGCTGCAGGACACTGGGCTTGCCAAATACCAATAAGCTGTTGAGAGGGAGGTAAGTCTCAAGAATCTACAGCTAGATCCTGAGCCTCCATCGCACAAGGAAAGTGCTCACTCTAGGTGAATTTCCACAAAAGGCAGTAAGTATGTGGGTCCACAGACACGGACATGGAAGATAACCAGTGTCCATAAGAAATATTTCCTTGTTTAGTATAAAATACATAGAGGCAACCCCGAAGGGTAATTTACATCTATTCTTTGAGAGGGCTCATTATGAGTACTGTAGCAACTAATTCTTATCCTAACGGATAGTCAACAGAATGGCTATTCCGTTCAAATATTAAGGCAACCTAGATAATAAACCTCAAGAAGGCTCTACATCGTGTCATTCTGATCTTTTTTGAAATCAGTCCTTGAATACTAAGGCCCAAAACTCTTGAGATGAAAAATTTTGATTCCTATCAACCAGCCACCTTAGTGCCTGGGCTTCTTTCTTGGATTGTTCAAAACTGGATATCCACATTTTTCGCAAAGCGTTCAAAGATGGACGCCGGAATGGTGAGAAAGCAAACACCGTGGGCTCTGGGCAACTCAGGTGGGTATCTTCTGCCTTCCATCTTTTGGGTGGTAAGCCCTGCATGAAGAGAAGGGAGAAATGAATTAAAAACATATGATAAGGAAGCACAATTCCCCTGTTTCCATCTCACAAGAATGGAACTCAGCACAGACTTTCCTTAAAGCAACAGTGTTACCCTGTGGAGGTAAAGGGGAAAGAAAGCATTTCACATATTGCCTCACTCAATTCTGTGGTAAGCACAGTAAATAGGTGCTACTACCCCATTTTACAGGAGTGGAAACTAAAGCACAAAAAGTTACATAAATTGCCCCAAACAGTATATACTTAAGATTGCATGTAGCTTTCTTCACATTCTAAAGCCTTCCCCTCTCTCTGGTTATTTATCTTTGATTTGTTTATTCCTTTTCCACCTATTACCCCACCACTACCCTCCTCCCCATAGGCAAATATTTTAAGGTGTTTAACACAGTTCTTTGTTTGCATGTAAATGTATTCGAATACTCATTGCGAAATGTGTTCTCAATCTCTGGGCATTCATTTGTAATATACTTATATGCTATTGTATATCTCATTTGTTTGCTACTTTTTCACCAAGTACTGTTTTTCCATCTATCTATGTTGTCACATGTTATATCTAATTCTTGTTTTTTTTTCTGAGACGGAGTTTCGCTCTTGTTACCCAGGCTGGAGTGCAATGGTGCGATCTCGGCTCACTGCAACCTCCACCTCCCGGGTTCAAGCAGTTCTCCTGCCTCAGCCTCCTGAGAAGCTGGGATTACAGGCATGTGCCACCATGCCCCGCTAATTTTTTGTATTTTTAGTAGAGACAGGGTTTTACCATGTTGACCAGGATGGTCTCAATCTCTTGACCTCGTGATCCACCCGCCTCAGCCTCCCAAAGTGCTGGGATTACAGGCTTGAGCAACCGCACCCAGCCTAATCCTTGTTTTTAATATATTTCCACTGCACTCAACTGTCCTCAGTACTAAGATGCTTCCACCAAATAATAATGATACCTGCTATTTGCATAATCCCTCCCAGCTTCAAAATGCTGCCACGAGCTTGGTCCATGCTCGGTCGTGGCTAATCTCCACAGTCTCCTAACTAACCCCTTGATTCCACTTTGGATCCTCTGCAGGCTACACTCAGCAGCCCTTCTTATTCCAAGTGAAAGGCCAAGTCCTTAAAATGGCCTACATGTTCAGGATTTGACCTTCCATTAATTTAGAAGGGAGAAAGGGTGAAAAGAAAAAACAGTAAAAGAGAAAGGGGGCTTTGCAGGCGCTGCTGCCACCAGGAGCCCTCTATAGTACCAGCCATGGTCAACCCCACCGTGTTCTTCAACATTGCCGTCAAGGGCAAGCCCTTGGGCCACGTCTCCTTCGAGCTATTTGCAGACAAGTTTCCAAAGACAGCAGAAAACTTTCATGCTCTGGGCACTGGAGAGAAAGGATTTGGTTATAAGGGTTCCTGCTTTCACAGAATTATTCCAGGGTGTATGTGTCAGGGTGGTGACTTCATACGCCATAATGGCACTGGTGGCAAGTCCATGTATAGGGAGAAATGTGATGAGGAGAACTTCATCCTAAAGCATACAGGTCCTGCCATCTTGTCCATGGCAAACGCTGGACCCAACACAAAGGGTTCCCAGTTTTTCATGTGTACTGCCAAGACCGAGTGGCTGGATGGCAAGCATGTGGCTTTTGGCAAGGTGAAAGAAGGCATGAAGATTGTGGAGGCCATGGAGCGCTTTGGGTCCAGGAACGGCAAAACCAGCAGGAAGATCACCATTGCTGATTGTGGACACCTTGAATGAGTTTGACTAGTGTTTTATCTTAACCACCAGACCATTCCTTCTGCAGCTCAGGAGAGTGCCCTCCACCCCACTTGCTCGCAGTATCCTAGAGTCTGTGCTGTCGCTGCAGTACCCTTTGGGTTCCATGATTTCCTTGTTCCCTTCCATGCCCAGCTGGATTGCAGAGTTAAGTCTATGATTATAAAATAAAAACTAAATAACAAAAAAAAAAAAAAAAGAAAGAAAGAGGGAAGACAAACTCCAGAATAACAGAGTGAACACACATATCTCATTTCCTTTCCTCCAGAAACACCATTAAAATGAGAGCAAAAGGACTAATCTTGAAAGGCATTAACCTATAAGGATTAGGAGAATGGAAGTGAGCAGAAGAGTAACAAAACTTAGAAGACAAGGAAAATTAGCAGCTTCACAGTGGGAAAACCAAGCACTACCACCTGAACCAAGCAATCAAAGTTAACGTCACCAGTTACATGTTATGTTGGTATAATGCATTCCCCTAACACAGGGGTCCGCAACTCCCAGGTCAGGAACCAGAACTGGTCCGCAGTGTGTTAGGAACCCCGGCCGCATAGCAGGAGGTGAGTGGTGGGTGCGCACAGCAGGAGGTGAATGGCATTGCAGCCTGGGCTCTGCCTCCTGTCAGATCACCAGCGGCATTAGATTCCCCTAAGAGAGAAAACCTTATTTGTGAACTGTGCATGCGAGGAATCAGGTTACTCATTCCTTATAAGCATCTAATCCCCCAACCACCCACCAGTCCATGGAAAAACTGTCTTCCATGAAACTGGTGTCTGGTGCCAAAAAGGTTGGGAACAGCTGCCCTAATAGGATGCAATGAGAACACTTTTACCTCGCTGGTATTATTCCCCAAGATCTATAACCCAAGTCTTAACATAAGAAAACATTAGACAAACCGTATGAAGGGACATTCTACAAAATACTGACCAGCACGCTTCAAAAGTTATTAAAAGTAAGAAAAAGCTTGAGCAACTGACACAGATTGGAGGAGACTAACAAATCGTGATGGCTTAATCACAGCTTGGTATCCTGGATTTGATCCTAGAGCAGACAAAGGATGTTAGAGAAACATGGTGAAATATGACTAAAGAGAAATATGATTAGACTTTACAGTTTAGCTAGCAGTGTGAATTTCTTATTGGTGACAAATGTACCACAGTTATGAAAAATTACAGCATGAGGGGAAGCCAGGGAAAAGGCATACAGAACTCTCAACTATCTTTGACATGTTCTATAAACAAAATTATTTCAAAATTAAAAGTTGTTTTTAAAAAGGCAATGGCAAAATGCCTTCAAAATTCTGAGAAAAATGGATGTCCATTTTAGTAGTTTCCAGTCAGCTAAACTATTGCTTAAATTTAGGGTAGAATGAAGACCTTTTTTTTTTTTTTTGAGATGGAGTCTTGCTCTGTCTCCAGGCTGGAGTGCAGTGGCACGACCTCAGCTGACTGCAACCTCCACCTCCCAGGTTCAAGTGATTCTCCTGCCTCAGCCTCCCAAGTAGCTGGGACTACACGTACATGCCACCACCCCTGGCTAATTTTTTGTATTTTTGGTAGAGTCGGGGTTTCACCGTGTTCATCAGGATGGTCTCAATCTCCTGACCTCTGGATCCATCTGCCTCAGCCTCCCAAGGTGCTGGGATTACAGGTGTGAGGCACTGCGCCCACCAACATTTTCATACCTTCTCCCATGTACCTCTTCTCAGGAAGCAACTGGAGAATATGATCAACCAAAACGAGAATAAACTAAGAAAACAGGTGAAATAGCATGCAGGAAACAGATGTCAATGGAAGAAAAAAAAGAAAGAAAGAACATGCGCAAAATGCTGGGGAAGTGACATCCCAGGCTGCTGCTCACACTAAGGTAGAGGACAATCACCACACAAGGAAGTAGGCTGCAGGCTCCAGGAGAGATCCCTTCCACAGGATTAAGAGAGCTGGATGCCTGCTTTATCTCAACATCTTCAGAGGAGATTTAAACAGTCAACAAAGACTGAATGCCTGATAGGTCCATGGAAAAGTAATCAAATAAGAAGGCAATTATTACCTGGGAAAGAAACAAAAAACCGTATAGGCAAGGGGAAAAATGATAGTGTACTACATGTTTTATTCTGTAGTAATAGTCACACAGTTATAATCAAACACTGAATATAAAAAAAAGAGTATGTAAATGTGTTACTTAGAAACACTGAGTAAATAGGCCGGGTGTGGTGGCTCACACCTGTAATCCCAGCCCTTTAGGAGGCCAAGGCAGGCAGATCACTTGAGGCCAGGAGTTGGAGACCAGCCTGGCCAAGATGGTGAAACTCTGTCTCTACAAAAACTAGCCGGGTGTGGTGGCGCATCCATAAAATCCCAGCTACTGAGGAGGCTGAGGCAGGAGAATCACTTGAACCCGGGAGGCAGAGGTTGCAGTGAGCCAAGATCACACGGCTGCACTCCAGCTTGCGTGACAGAGGGAGACTCCATCTCAAGAAAAGAAAAAGAAAGAAAAAGAAACATTGAGTAAATGTCAAAATAATTAAATAATTAGCTAAATATTGTGGTTGCTTCTGGGAAGGAAAGAAAAGAGAAAATAAGTGGAAGACTGCTGTTTTTATTAATTAATTGTAGAAATATTTGATTATTCAACCTAAATCCATGCATATATTTTTCTTAAAAAAAAAAAAAAAAAAAAAACACTTCTTAAGGCCTGCTGTTGTGGCTCATGCCTGTAATCCCAGTACTTTGGGAGGCCAAGGAGGGCAGTTCGAGATCAACCTGAACAACATGGAGAAAACCCCATCTCTACACTAAAAATACAAAATTAGCTGGGCATGGTGGCGCATGCCTGTAATCCCAGGCACTCAGGAAGCTGAGGCAGGAGAATCACTTGAATGATCCTGGAGGCAGAGGTTGCAGTGAGCCAAGATCGCACCATTGCACTCAAGCCTGGGCAACAACAGCAAAACTCTGTCACAAAAAAACTTGTTGTAAAAACTGTCTTAATGCCTTAATGTGAAGACAGTACATTATGTGTCAGGTTTATAAGGATTAGAATCTTCATCCATCCAAATTTAGAAAGCATAGCAGAAAACCCAGTTTGGAAGTATAAAAACGCAGGTGCTACCTATGATTGGCTCAACACATTTTCTTTTCCTTAAAATTCCCATAGGCAACATATGAGGAGATAACAGGAGTGTTTAGTGTAAAGAGGAGATGACTGCGAATGAACAGAGTTC